TCAGCGTCCAGAACCTTGGCGGTAACAAGATTCAGCCCTTTTTTGGACTTAATAGGGTTGGATTTCGAGTCATCCATAACCCGGGGCTGCGATGGCAAAAGCTTAATCTTTTTACCCGCATGTTCGAACATGCAGGTGTTTGAATGCCCAAAAATGTGGACATTTTTATCATAGATCCAGGGGCGACCCAAAAGAATTTGTCCAACATTCATGATCAATGCATTGCACCAAACATTCTCCTTGTGATCAACAAAGGAGATAGGTATGAAGCTTCGTTCCTTCACCTCTAAGGCAGTGGAGTTAACCCACGCTACCTTATACGAGTTGGGATGAGGAACAGCAGAGAGACCCAACTAGGATACCATGCTGGAAGACACAGCATTTATACAGCTACCACCATCCACGATGACCTTACAGTTCTTGTCTTTGATTATGGTGTAGGTGTGGAAAATCGAGGTCCTACGCCAATCATCTGTGGGTGTCGGGTGGGATAGCGCACATCTCACCACGCAGACGGGAGAGGTATCCAATTTCTAAAGACAATGGAGGATCGTAGTGTCGTCATCCTCCTCGAAGTATTTGCCTTCCTCCTCTACCTGGGGAATCTAATCAACCTCGGGCTCGAGATCGTCCTCGGTAATCTCCTCGATGATCGAGACTTTATAGGGTTTGGAGCACTGAGAAGCAATTTGCCCATACCCCTGGCATCGAAAGCACTTGGTCCCAGGACTGGACCGAGGGGTATCCGGGGGTGGAAGGTTTGTTTCTAGAATCAGGTCGAGGTGCAGGAGGCCCCGTGGGTGGTCAGGTCGTGCTCCCAGAAGTGGGTCGGGTAGCATAAGTGTATGGAGTGGAACTACCAACTGGTCTGTAGGAAGGCCTAGAGCATGTGAACGGCTCGGGTGCTGTGAACGGGACTCCTCTAAATCAAGCACTAGGCTGTAGGCATTTTTCAGTGTAGTGTTGTTGCGGTCAAACAACTCATTGCGAAGAACCTCTCGCAACCCGATTCGAAACATAGACAAAATCTGCGCGGGTGTGGTAGAGGTCTCCCCTTTGCAGCGAATCAGGAAGTCATCGAAAGAGGCGATGTACTCCTTAACTGGTTTATTGCTTTGAGTTGGCCTATTCCACCTGTCCAATAGTCGGGGGAAGTACGAGGGAGACAAGTACTTCTGCTTGAGTTCATGCTTCATGGACGGCCAATCGGTAATGGGGTAATCGTTCCTAGCTTCCCTAAGGCTCTCTAAGTTGGCCCAAAACTGACTCGCCCTACCCGTGAGATTCATCTCCACAAAACTGACCTTCCTAGCCTCGGAGATGTTATACCACTTAAAGAAACTGTCCATACCTTTGACCCAATCCAAGAAGAGCTGAGGATCGAGTGTGCCATCAAAGGTAGGAGCATCAACTTTAATATTTTTCATGAGTGGTATATCAAGATCATGATGTGTCATGTCCAAGATAAGGAGCTCGATGATTGGCACGGTGTTGCCTCTCATCTGGGTAAGTGTCATCCCCATACATAGAAGGTGGTCTAGATGGGGTGTAGGGATTAGGATGCTCTCTAGCTCGCTCAAGAGTGTCAAATCGTTCAGTAGTGTTCCTATGAAGTTCAGCTAGGTCGGCTTGATTTTCTTTGAGTTGTTGGCTAATATTAGACCTGTCAAAAACGGGTCACGGGTCGGGACCCGAAATTGACCCGACACTGTTCAACCCGACCCGACCCGACCCTTTTTTGCAAACGGGTCGATTTTCCGAACCCGAACCCGACCCGGTTCGGGTTCGGGTTGACCCGAACCCGAAATTTTCGGGTCGGGTTCGGGTCGGGTTTTCGGGTCGGGTCCAATATTGACAGGTCTAGCTAATATTGTTCATTTGGCCTACCAACAAGTCTAAAGTCCTTCCTAATTGTTCCGGATCCATTGGGAAATCACTACAAAACATCTAAGGTGACTAGGATGCCAAGAATAGCAAGTTAAAAGATTAGAATACCCTTATGTCTAGTGAAATGGCTATGAGAAAAGTAAGGACAGCAACCTAACAATTTCTAAGTGACACAAATGCAATGGTGGAATGAATAAAATGCTGAAATAAAATTCTACCAAGGATCCTAACACATGCAAAAAAGAGCATACCATGCTTTGATACCAGATGATGTAGGACTACGATGTTTGCAAATTAATTTTATTAAGAACTTGCACAAATCCTTGATTAGAGAAATAACAAAGAAACTTATTAGCAAATAAAACAATGAATTAAAACGTAAGAGGGGTCACTGCCGTTTAGGCTAAGTTGCATATCCAAAAGATTTGAATCCTCAAAATAACGTAGATAACAACAATATGCCAAAGTAATAGTTTCAACAAAATCCCTAGTCAGTTTCAACAAAATCCCTAGTCTAACAATTAGATAAGTAGACAATGAATGCACTCAAATTCCTACGTTTACCAAGCTTAGCAGAATCAGGCAAATGCGTCCTTCGTAACTACAATCAAATCACAAGAAAAATGTTAGACTTAAGAAATACAAGAAAAAGAAAAAGTAGAACCTCCGTCAAGGATCGGCGGCAATCCTCCACTCGACGATCTCAAGTTGTTCTTCAATAACTTCAACCAAGGTGTCCAAGATTCCCTCTATGTAGTCTTCCACCGTATGGTCGATTCTCGGGTTGACGTCGAAGAAGGTTGAATGGAGAATGTGCACGAACCCGTGTTCGTCGTAAGCAAGGCCGTAATCTGTTTCTGGGTCAGCCATCCATGCGAGAAGTCGCTGTTTTGACTTTGGGAGGCGCTGGACGGCAAGGAGAGACTTCTCCGATGGTGCTACAGTGAAAAGAATCCGATGGAAGCTGATGGACAGCAAGCTGTCCCTTTAAGGCAGCAGTTTCGAAGCCTCTGGCTGATGAGAATCCAGGAATGGTTGCAGGAATTTTCTGTCAGCAGTCTTTGAGAGTAGGAAACCCAACGTGGGATAGGGTTTGGGGGGGGATTTATGGAGGAAAAATAGCACAGAAGCCTTGGGGAGTTTTCAGCCAGCAGGGGAGGAGAGCTTAAGGCTTAATTCCAACTTAGAAGGAGTGGTTTTGGAAAGATTTAAGGAGGTGGGGAGCAAGGGGAATTTCAGCCAATAGAAAAGGAGGGGTTTTGAATTCTTTCCAAGAGAGCAACTTGAGTTTTGGAAAGAATTTTCAAGGGGATCCAAGAGGGGTCGGCGTCACTAGGGATGATTTGATTAGATTGGGTTTCTTATTTTAGAATTAGAAAATATGAAAGATTTAATTAGATCCTATTTAATTTGAAATTCAAATATGAGTTAATTAAAAAGCTTTTCTAAAATAGATTTCGTAAATTAAGAAAGACTTTGGATTTCAAATCAATTGGATTTGAATTCAAAATCTGTCCAATTTTGATTCAATCTAAATTAGGAAAGGATGCATTGGGAGGGAAGGGGAGAGATGGGGCCGACAGGTGGGATTTGACTGTGGGGATGGTGGAGGGTTTTATGGTGGTGGTGATGAAACCAGCGGGTGGATGGGGAAGGCTTGGTGGCCGGCGGCTGAAGGCTTGGGGAGTAATGAGAAAACACAAAATAAGGAACCACGAACCCGGCCGTCTCCAAGGTTGGTGGGTGATCCGATCTCCCTCTCCTAGGGATTTCTCTCTCAAATGCTCATACGATCTCACAAAGAAATCACAAGGGAAGAAAAATTATCATTCATTCATTAACCTCAATAGAGAACAAGGAGGGCTATATAAAGCCTCATACAAAGGACTCAATGACAAAAGCCAACAATGCCCCTAGGGCTTACATACGACATCCCTTAATAAAAGGGTACAACAGAAAACTAAATAAAGCAAATAAAATGCGACAACATATATAAGAAAATACATAGAATAAATCAAAAATACAATGACTCAATTATGGTCGTAGATCGGCGGCCATGCCTCTGATAAACCTTCAATGATCTGATGTCCGCATCAAGTTCTCACTTGAAATAAAGATGTGAGGGATCTTCTTATAGGCATGCAGATAAATGTTATATTCCAAAGTTATAATAATGAAGTCATAACTTAGGTTCTACCATGGTTTAAAATTGCGCAATATGAGGCCCCTTAGACAAGAAATAACCCCACTTGAGCATGAAATTCAAAATTTAATCATGGCACACCATATCACTAAACATACTATATTTTCAACCGCATACAAACTATATGATTGGGCAAACATACCCTACAATGGTTCTCACTTGAAATAAAGATGTGAGGGATCTTCTTATAGGCATGCAGATAAATGTTATATTCCAAAGTTATAATAATGAAGTCATAACTTAGGTTCTACTGAAATAGCCTAATCACCAAATTTTTAAACAAAATATAAAAATATTTAAAAAAACAACAATCCTCACTATGTCTGCTCATTAAAAAAGTGTCCACGAGAAAATGATGATGTAAGGTTCTACTTTATTCATGACCATGCAGCGAGGGTCGTACATCAATTAGGATAACATCAAGAATCCCATTTAATATCATTAATAAAAATTTTAAAGTGATGTATGTTTTATCTCTGCCATTATAGATCTATAATTTAATTGTAACAAAATGCTTTCGAAAAATTTTGCATTTAAAATCTAAGCCTGTTCATTCAGCATTATATAGAATAGCAGGAATCTTAAAATATCTACTTCTAGTTATTAAATTGTGTATTTCATCATCTTGCATGCCATTTAAAATTCAACGTTTGGAACAGCAAAAAACAGGTCTTGCATTATTGGAATCAAAACAAGAGATATAAGGAACGTCACCACAAAAAATCAATCAGCTTAACAATTGCATATTTAAAATAATGCACACTAAATAATTTCAATAATCAATAGACTATCATTTATTATAGTTATTAACTATCAAGTATTATTATCATTAGTACATAAAAGGTATAAAGTTTTATGCAATTTTCAGTGACTTAAATATTCTTAAAAATCATAAAAAATGGAGACTCACTGAGATAACAAGGTCATGCTTTCTCTCGCATTTATCAAGATTATGGCTCAATGCTTGAATGTTATCATAGCTATGGATAATGGGCAACCCTTTCAAATCTACCAAACAACAAGTAATGATCGTAAGCAATTTATAGCTACATCAGTATTGCAGAATCAACACCAAAAAAAGACAGTATAGCTTCCAAAGTATATACATTACATGTTATAACAGCTATGCAATAAAATTTGCCCTTAAAAGCTCCACAAAAAGGTAATTTACTATAAAAATGAAAGCAAGAAAGCATAACTAAAATATGAAAAACAGAAGTAAAGATAAACCGCAGTTCTCTTAAGTAAGGTGATTGATGAAGGAAAATTGTAGCATTTACAGAAGAATATGATAAAGAAAAACAACATAAATTTTTAAAAATCATTCAAGTACCAATTCTAGACTCCGAAACTTTCCAGCAGTTTGAGAAAATAACGCTATCATTAAAAGCTAATTTTTTAAGAGGATATAGAGAAGAAAACAATAGGTCAATGCTCACCTCCATTCAAATACATGTAAGTGTACATTCCAGGGAGACCAAAAAAAAAACACTTTGAAATAGTGGGTAGCAATTTTACCGTATATGTGATGATAATAAATTCTCTAACCATGCTACCACATTCCTTTTTCAGTAAATGACCCTGACAATTGAAACCCTATCTTCATGTCCTTGGAAACACTTCTATAGAGAGAATGTTCCAGCAAAGTTGGGCACAGAAAACCTAATTCTTCAAGAAAATCCAACTTCCATATCGAACTAGCACAACTCCCTAGGTGCAAGCACATGGGCACAATTTAATCAAGGAATTCTGATGTAAGCAAGATTTCAGGTTTCCCCCTTCCCTGTGTGGCTACCCCTTAGGTTTTTGTGTGATGCTTCGAATTCCCTGCTTATTAAATGCTGTTTTGATGCTTCGGTCCCCCCCCTCAATTGACTAACATGTGATATTTAGGTTTCCCCCTAAAAGCTGATGTTTTGCTTTGGTTTTCCCTCCTACGGCTTCCCTTTGGGTTCCAGTGTGCTGCGGCTTTTATGTGTTTCTATTGGCTGATTTTGAGGTGCATTAAATACATGTATTAATTGTCTTTTTACCTTTTTTCCCTATATAAGGACTATTTTGTGGCTATTTTAGGAGAGTTTTAGAGATGAAAATTTGTGGATTGTAAAAACCTGCGGGTTTATATAGCTTGCGAGCTATTTTCTTCTTTTCCCTTCTCTTAAAATTCATCTCGGTCTTCTAATCCCTTCTTCTCTATCCATTGTTCCCGCCCCATTTGTATCATTCTTCTTTAAAATATATATAAGTTTTATGGTTTATGTTTGTCATGTTTATGATTAAGGAAGACGTTTAATTTTTACAATTCTAAAATTTGTTTGTGTTTGTGTTGTGTTTATTTTGGTTACATCAATTTGATATCAGAGCCTTAGGTTTTAATGTATATTCCTTTCTTTTCTTTAGAAAAAAAAATAGACAAACATGGTACAATAGAATCTATTGTTGACGAAAATATGCCAACTAATCGTGAAGATAAAATTCCAACAAGCATATGGGTCCTGCCGCAAGGAAGCTCTACTGATCCAATCCAGAACGAACTCTACAAAATTCAAAAAAAAAATGATTTTGTGCGCTGAAAGATATGGGAAGAGAAAGAGTCAACTTCAAGCCCAATTTAATCAGGAAAAAGAAATTACTCAAAGAAGGTATGCGGCTCTTGCACAAAAGTTGAATTTCGCTCAGTCTGCGCACCTTGGAAGAAGTCCAGAATCTTTTTCATCAGGAGATGAAATTCCTCCGCCAAGAGAGAATTGATGAGATTTTAGGTTTCTCCCTTCCCTATGCGGCTGCCCCTTCGGTTTCTGTGTGATGCTTCGAATTCCCTGCTTGTTAAATGTTGTTTAGATGCTCGGTTTCTGCGCCCCCCCATTGGCTGACGTATGGTATTTCGGCTTCCCCCTAAAAGCTGTTGTTTTTGCTTCGATTTTCCCTCCTACGGCTGTCCCTTTGGGTTTCGGTGTGCTGCAGTTTTTATGTGTTTCTATTGGATGATTTTGAGGTGCATTAAATACATGTATTAATTGTATTTTTTACCTTTTCTTCCCCTATATAAGGGCAATTTTGTGGCTGTTTTAGGAGATTTTTAGAGATGAAAATTTGTGGAATGTAAATACCTGCGGGTTTACATAGCTTTCGAGCTATTGTCTTATTTTCCCTTTCTCCTCTTAAAATTTGTCTCGGTCTTCTAATCCCTTCTTCTCTATCCACTGTTCCCGCCCAATTTGTATCCTTCTTCTCTAAAATATATATAAGTTTTATGATTTATGTTTGTCATGTTTATGCTTAAGGAAGTCGTTTAGTTTTTGCAATCCTAAAATTTGTTGGTGTGTGTTGTGTTTATTTTGGTTGCATCAAATTCTTGCAACCTATATTTAACATTAATATTAGTGTAACGTATCCTTCCACCCTATGAAGATGAGGCCCTCAAGTTCAACAAAATGCCAGCAAATAAACCTAAAGAAAATAAAGTTCAATATCAAAAGGTAGGCTTAGAAATATCAAATGCACCAAACTATGCATAGATTCAATTAGGAGGTCATTTGGTTCAAATTTATGTAGATAGTATCATTTTCTAATTTCTAAATAATGGTGTTATTCACATATATGTGTTTATATGCCAAATGCAAGATATTTGTTTCAATGTTATCTTGCTTATACAATTTAATGATTTGAATGAACCAATATTACGCTTTCTTTCTTCTTTTATGATATTTATTTTAGGCTTCGTTTAAGATGGCTTTCTTACGGTTCTTAAAGCAGCTTTTTAGTACAAAAATTAATTTTTTTGTATTTGAAAGCTTCTTTAAGAAGAAATAAAAAAAACGTCCCAAACGAAGCCTTAGTCGTCTAATAGCCTGATATCTAGATTCAGCGACTTTGGGCAACATATTTATGTCAACAGAATATGACTGACCAAAAATTTAAGAAATTGTTGTTTAAATATCCCACCAACATAACGTAATGACATAATGTGATATGAAAAATGACAGTTAAACAAACCATCCTAGGTTTTTTTTTTATTAGCATACAAAGAAAGGCCTCATCTATTACCCCCAAAAAAAAGCATACAAAGAAAAGATGGATATTTTAATCTAAGAAGAGAATAAGGTAGAAGCGCTAATTTGCGGAAAATGCATCTCGTTCTGAGCTTACCTCTCAAAAGGCTTTGAGCAGCTCTTTGCATATCTTTTGATGGCTCTACCAAATTAACCCTCTCCAAAGCCTTGGGCCAGACCTCACGCATTGCCCTAAACAAAATTAAAAAAGATTCAAGAGATGACCAAATCCATTAACACCCCACAACCTCAGAGCGGCAAAATCTCATTATATACTCACGAGATGAATTCAAATTCTCACCAAATTGCCGATCCAGGACCCGCACCAAAGTCCAACACACTTGCAGGAGAGAAATCTGGCAATCTCCGACGAACCTACAATCCACACTCTCCATTCACAAAACAAAATGATAACCAAAACAGAGAAATAAAACAATATAAGAACTTAAAACCTCTTTGAGAACCCGATGGCAGGCGGAATATACGGCGGGCATCCGCGAAGCAACGTAGGCAACGGTTTCATCCTCCTTATACTTCAACCCGATGTCTCCATACGCCGAGCGTATCTTCCACCGAGCACCGCCGTGTTCGATCGGCCTGAAGGGATCCTCGACAAGCTCACGTGAGACAGAGGCGGAGAGCTGGAGGTTGGTCTCCTTGATCCGGTTAAAGGACTGGGAGAGAGACAGTACCTTCCGATTCATATGCGATTTCTCCTTTTCTGATCAAATGCCCTGGAAACGATTAAAAATAGAGGAGAGAAAAGGATTTTGGAGACGGATTTAAGGAAAACAAAGGGTACCTCGAAGGAATTTTTTGATAGCACGTCGGAGTGAGAGCGGGACGAGATGAATTCCTTCGGATTGCTTTGCTGCTGCGCGGATGGATTCTGGCGTTAGCAGCTTCGTTGCGGCCGCAGGAACGATAGAGGAAGCCATGGGAACTACTGTCTTCAATGTGAAGCTTTTCGTCTTCGTCGCAATGGGATATTCTAGGTTTTAAAGAGGGTTTTTGAGGAAACGTAAGTGGGAAATTCTGAAGGCACTTCATAGAAAGTTGTTAACTTATAATTTTCTTTAAAATTTCGCTATAGTTTAAGTACTTAACTTGCTAGTTCAAAATTCAATTGAAATGCAGTGTCAAGCTAGATGTTTAATATGAAACTTATAACTCACAACTAAGATATTATATATTATAGTCTCATGTGTGTATTTAAACGCTACCCTTAATTTGTGAAATGCTTAGCTAAGCAATTCAAACAAATTTATTTATTTATGATTTTAATAATTTAAATTTCATTATACTAACAGTATTTACGTGAGTTATGGGTGTCAATTTTTGACACAACCCGAAAATTCGACCTGAATTTTTTGGGTTAAGGTCATCCTGTTTTAAGAATGGGTTGGGTTCAGTCCCAATTTTTTATGGATCCCAAATTTTGACTCATTTTGAATTTCGGATCGGGTTCGGATCAACCCAAAAATCCGATTATGACCCAGTTTTGACCCGAAAATGGAAAGATGAGCTTTTGGCGGAACTCTCGTCTTTCTCTCTCTCACGGCTTTGATCTGCCTAATTTTTTGCCAACTTTTAAGCTGGAACTTTCATCTTTCTCCCCCAAATTTGAAGAAGCATCAGCATAAGCGGTGAGTTAGTAACGTGTGAAATGACTGACATCCTTCTGATGCCTTGATTCTATTGATTTTAAAGATCTAATTTTTTTTGTTTGGCTAGATTTCGATCAAATTCTTCTTGGAAACTGCTATACCCAATAGCTCGGTGATGGTGATTTGTTCTCTCTCTCTCTCTCTCTCTCTCTCTCTCTCTCTCTCTCTCTCTCTCTCTTTCTCGTCTTTATTCAAGCAGCCGCAGTTCGCCTAGGCAAACGAACAGCAGCAAAGCTTTGAGGCAATCAAAATTGCATTAACGTCGGCTCCGGTGTTGGTGTTACCTGATTTTAATAAACCATTCATGGTTGATATGGATGCATCTATGATAGGCATCGGGGCAGTTTTATCTCAAGACAACAAACCGGTGGAGTTTTTCAGCAAAAAGTTATGTCCTTCGCGGCAGAGATGGACTGTATACGAACAGGAGTTGTATGCTGTTGTTAGAGCCTTGAAACAATGGGAGCATTATTTATTACACAAAGATTTCTCCCTCTGCAGCGATCACAAGGCTCTACAGTACATCAATTCTCAAAAGAATATTAATCGGATGCATGCTCGCTGGATCATATTCTTACAAAGGTTTACTTTTGTGCTGAAACATAAGAGCGGAGTGCAAAATCGGGTAGTTGATGCACTTAGTAGAAGGGCTGCTCTTATAACTAGACTACAAACTAAATTTTTCGATCTTGAATGCTTTAAAGAATTATATCCTGAGGATGACTATTTTAAGGAGCATTGGTCCAACTACTGCAAATAGGAACCAGCCACCGAATATTCTATCCGCCATGGTTTCTTATTTAAGGGAAATTTATTGTGCATTCCTAGCTCATCCTGGAGACAACAGATTATTAAAGAAACTCATACGGGTGGTCTATCATCTCATTTAGGCCGTGATAACGCGATCATTCAGCTGCAGCAACGATTCTTTTGGCCACATTTAAGGCGAGATGTCTCTAAGTTCGTTGAGAGGTGTTCAATTTGTCAAACTTACAAAGGGAGATGACAGAACACCGGATTATACCTGCCCTTGTCCATGCCGGATTCCATATGGGAAGATTTGAGCCTAGATTTTGTGCTTGGCTTACCGAGAACCAAGCATGGCAATGATTCAATAATGGTCATAGTGGATCGCTTTTCAAAAATGGTGCACTTCATTGCCTGTAAGAAAACATTCGATGCTCTCAACATTGCCAAGCTTTTCTTAAAAGAAATTGTGCACTTACACGGTATTCTGCGAAGCCTTATATCGGATAGAGATGTTAAATTCATTAGCCATTTTTGGCAAAAACTTTGGAAAAGGTTGCACACGCAGATCCAGTTAAGTTCTTCATACCACCAGCAGACTGATGGCCAAACGGAAGTGGTGAACTGCACATTGGGTAATCTCTTGTGTTGTTTAGTTTAAGACAACCCCAAAATCTGGGATGAATTGCTCGGCCAAGCAGAATTCGCTTTCAATTCCATGACGAATCGGTCCACTGGTATGTGCCCATTTAGTATTGTTTATACTAAAGTACCAAATACGGTTCTTGATGTTACAGTGCTTCCAAAATGCAAAAGCAAGTCGGCTTCTGCATTAGTAAACAACTATATGAAATTCCTATCTAGTATTCGGCTGAAGCTGCAAGAAGCAAATGTAAAATATAAGTTGGAGGCTGATGCCCATAGACAAGAAAAACTATTCAAGCCAGGAGATTTGGTGTTCGTCCGGTTGAAGAGAGAGAGCCTACCAGTGGGTGAATACTCCAAACTGGGCAAAAGAAAATGGGGGTCGTTTCCTATTAGCAGTAAGATCAATGATAACGCATATATTGTTGATCTTCTGAAGGAGTTCAACACATCCCATACTTTCAACGTTAAATACATCTATGCTTATTCCCCTCCCGATGATAGTGTGACGCAAATTCACTCTGTTGGTACAGTTGTTCTTCTTGGTGGGGGCAAATGATGCAAAGCATCTATTCTTATGGTGTTTGAGGAAGTATCTTATCCTATTAGTATCCTTTTAGTTATCCCGCTGGTGTTGTTGTGAGCTCCACTACCTTTAGTGCTTTAATTAATTACTTAGTACACACTTTTTCTGTTTTATACTTTTATTAGTATAGGGAAAAAGAGAAGGTATATACTAGAATTCATGTAAGGAATATGGTAGAAGTTCATTTTGATCAATACTATCACTACACAGTTATCTTTCTAGTAATTCTCTTGCTCGTCTTCTCTGTTCCTTATTCCTTCGCAGGTGTGCCGGCATCAGAAAGCCTAGTCTTTTTCCCAAAATCTAACCACATGCTGGTCATGTCGGATTGACCCAGACTCGAAGCAGTTCAGGTTCGTGTCTGAAAAACTAACCCGTTTACAAAAACGGGTCAGATTCGGGACTGGTCGAATAGTGCCGGGTAAGTTTTGGGTTGGATCCAAACCCGACCCATGACCCAATTTTGACAGCCCTAACGTGAGTACATAATAAAAGGAATAAGTGAATTAAATTGCCTAATTTCATGTAAAAATTCATGTTTTTTTTATATACACTATTTATTATATGTTGAAATATGTATATTCCTAAGATTATATTTAAATACAGAGCATCCACCTTGAAGAGCATCTATTTTAGAATTGTTGAATTGTTATATGAAAATGTTATTTTGATGCTGAAAATAAACAAATTAATATGCATCATTTCTTTACATTCCTCCTACGATCCTACCCTCGAGATGTTTTGATTATCCATCATATGGTATCATGTTAGAATGTGTGGGAAAAATATTTTAAATTGGGGAGCTTAAAGATGAGGTTTACTACATATGAGATTACAATTATCATTGGGCTTCCAAATCACGAAAAAGAAGTTAAATGTTCAAAGGAGCCTCACACAAAGTTGATCTCACCTTGAGTTAGAAGAAGTGAACAATACAAACATTATGTGGGTAAGTGTAAGAAGTGACAGTCGAATGAGCTAGGGCTTGAGGTGATGAAGTAGGGGTGACTTCTTATGCATTATCAGTATCATCCCCATGGACCACACGTCTCTTCTCATTTGAAGAGGTCGTGGAAAGAGTGCTTGGTGAATGTAGATAAAATGTGACTAAGTGCTTCTAATTTGTCAAATCATAATTGATTTCTATTATATGGCTGATAAAATGACAAAGGATTAGATCTTGACAACGCTTGACCTTAGAGTTGTGAATAGAGTAGGGTTTAAAATATATTAAATTATCATTTTCATCTTACTAAATTTATGCGGGTCATGCACAAAGAGGTGACTATAGAGAGAATAAGGGCAATGTTTATGCAATCACCAGTGGGAATGACATCTTGTTGAAGCACATGTTGACTAACACGAGCATTTTATAAACGTCCACTAACAAGAAGTTAATGATGTGGGAGCAGGAGAATTCTTAAGGACTTGTTTTATGAATGTCTACTTATAAGTAGGATCGATGACTATAATATGTGTGCAAACATCATTGTTAGAGATATGGAGGGTATCATGCAAATCTTAATCGATGATAGATATTTACTTCCTATCAACTGAAGATTACATGGCAATAAAGTTGGCATTTATACATAGGTTCATAAAGAATTTAAAAAATAGTTTGAAGTGATTTTGATGGATAACTGGAATAGGGAATTGTAGTACCCATAAAATGATCTTAAATATTATAAAAAATATGTTCTTGAAGTATCAATTTTTAGTTAGTGATGAATGATTGTTTATACCTCTTGTAGACAATGGGATTAACCGTTGTTTAAGAAAATTGGTCATGCTATGAAACAAAAGATGATCTAGTGCCCCTGATCTTTTGCTTGCAATGAATGCTCTCTTAAACACTTAAGAAGGCTCTCCTGAAGGTTTGAGGGATGAAGTACATATGAGTGTGGTGAGCGGAATATTAGGCTATTCAAAGAGTTTTTATTGGATAGATCATACAATATGATTAGCATTTGAATTGATTGTCCCAAAGAATATTTTGAATAGGTTCAATCATATAAAATGATGTTTAATTATATATGATATGATTTAAAATGTACTTCTATGAGACTACTAAATATGATTTATGATGGTAAAATCACCATCATATAATATGATAGGGATTAAGCAATACGATATGGTTCGTACAATATAGTTTGTGTCATATAATATGATTTACCAATTATTTTATTAATTTTTTGTATCTCCACTAAAGATAATCCTCAATAAGAACTATCAAGTAATTGAATATAAACACAAAATCATGAACATGAAATTAAAAAAACATATCATAACAAAATAAGAGATTAATATCAGCTAAATACATGTGCAAACAAAAAGAAGAAGGGAAATTTACATACATACCACTATATTTCTAACTTTGTACATATCTAACACCTCAAA